GGAACAAGCGTGGCTTGCGCCAAGGTGACCCCATGTCACCGCTCTTGTTTAACTTTTTCGCCGACGCACTGGCTGCCATGCTGCGGAAAGCCGCGGAGGCTGGCCACATAAAAGGGGTGTTGGGACACCTCATCCCAGGGGGGATTTCTCACTTGCAATACGCGGACGATACGCTATTATTGTTCCAACCCGACCTGCACAGCATTGCTATAGTCAAAGCACTGCTCATTAGCTTTGAACTGATGTCGGGTCTTAAAATAAACTTCCACAAGTGCGAAGTCATGTCTATGGGCATGGAGGTGCAGGATAGTAGGCGCGTTGCGGACCTGCTGAATTGCAAGTTAGGCAAACTTCTGTTTACTTATTTGGGTCTTCTGTTAGATGCTAAGCGCATTACGATCGACGGCTGGGCTCCGCTTTGGACCAAGGTGGGTGGACGGGTTTGCCCATGGAGGGGAAAGTTCCTCTCCTCCACAGCTAGGTTGGTGCTCACGAATTCGAGCCTCTCCTCGTTGCCGCAATTCGCTATGGGGCTTTTCCTTTTGGCCGAAGGGGTGCATGCCAAGATGGACACACCCCGGTTCCATTTCTTTTGGGAAGGAGTGGGACCAAAGCGCAAATACCACATGGTTTGTTGGGATACGGTGTGCCGTCCAAAGGCCCAGGGAGGGCTAGGGATCACGAACACCAGAATACTCAACATTGCACTCATGTGTAAGTGGATCTGAAAGCTGTAGCAGGGGGCGACGGGCTTGTGGGTCAATCTGCTTCGTGCAAAGTACTTCCCATCCGGGAACTTTTTCGAAGGTGTGGCGAGGGGTTCACCCTTTTGGAATGACCTTCAAGCGGTTCGGCCAGCCTTCGCCCTGGGCGCCAAGTTCTCCATTGGCAATGGCCGTTCGGCACAGTTTTGGTTGGATCACTGGGGGGATCCCAACCCCTCTGGTCCGCTTTCCAGTACTTGTACGTCCAGGCGGTCAACCCGGATTTGAGCGTTGCCACGGCGCTTGCCTCCTCCCCCCTGCGATCTGTTTCCGGCGCGAGTTAACGGGAACCGAACTTGCCCACCTAGCGGAGCTGCTTGATATCATCGCGCCGGTGTCGCTTTCCATGCCCGCGGACACCGTGACGTGGTCCCTTACCCCTTCCGGCAAGTTTTCGGTCAAATCTTTGTACCGAAAGATGTGCCAGAGCCAGGCCTTCCTAGTGCCAAAAGGCCTTTGGACCGCGAGCCTCCCGCTTAAGATTAAGATGTTCTTGGCAGCTGTTTCGCAATAGACTGCCCAACTCGGCCAACGTTGCCAAACGGCACGGCCCGTTGACGGGTACGTGCGCGGTTTGCAACGTCACGGAAGATGTGAACCACGTTTTCTTCCGCTGCCCGATAGCTTGCTTTGCTTGGAGCGCGGTCCACGCAGTCGCTAACACCTCGTGGAACCCTCGATCGACCTCAGATCTAGCGGGTATCATCGCCTCTGCTTCAGGAGGCAACAATCGCGTGCTGTGGAGCTGTATCGGAGCCCTGGCTTGGTCTCTTTGGCTCACTAGGAACAAACTTGCGATCGAGGGTATCTTCCCAACGCACCCGGCTAACATCATCTATAAATGCAACCTCTTCTTGCAGCAGTGGAGTCCGTTGGCGAGGCGCAAGGATGCTGACAAGCTGAAGCATGCTCAAGACCGTCTGCGCTACTTCTACGTTTTGGCTAGGGAGCCCCCCGCCACGTCTCCATCTTGATAGTGGCCCTTTTGCCCCGCGATCGAGCGAGCCTGCGTGCTCTAAGCTCTGGCTATGTGCCATGTACTCGCTTCGTACTTCGTTTGGTCAGGTCTTTCGCTCGTAAACCTTATGTTTAAGCTAGCCGGGAGCCTCCGTGCTCGTGTCGTCTGTTTCGTCACTATGTCCGATACGCTGCCTGTTGTGGGCTTTATTAATTTAAAGCCGAACGCGTCTAAGCGTCTTCGTTCTAAAAAAAACATTCTCTGTGCCAATGGGAGGATGTCGACGGAACCATGGCGGTTATGCATGGCGCAACAGGTGGAGGAGCTGAAGTGTTTGACGCACATCATTCCGGTATGATCAGCGGGGATTGTCTACTTCATCGCGCTCACCCAGTAGGGTGCGTACATCGTGCTCCAGGCACTGAAGACTGACCGATGGATCAACAACTAACTTCTAGACACCCCACAGGGCTCCTTTGTCGTCTTCTAGATGCTCTCCCATGCCATAAATCGCCATGTATGATCGGTTTAGGGTGCTAAAGCTCCACCACTTCATGAAGCATGAGGCTAGCATCATCCGCTCCAACGGATCGACATCAGTGGCGACGATGCTGGTGTTAACGACCATGGAGCAGCGATGACGAACGATCTGTTGAGTATCGTGATTATTAGAAAAGTTAGGATAGCTTAGGATATTACTAGCCATACCCGCGCGGCGGCACGCCGCGCCTATTGATACATTATGTGAGAAATTGTGTACGCAATGTTGTTAAACTTTATCTGATTGAGTATTCACTTGTTGTTTGTTCACTTTATTCTTATGTTGTGTTGTATATATGGGAAAACATCATATTGGTACGCATTCTGAAATCTTTCATAAAGATACACACATTATTTAGACACTACATAGATGTTTTGTATGTGATGATAGAAAGGGCCTTGTGTTGATTATTTGGCTAATTGGTTGGTTGTTACGTTAGTTTGAGGTTTTTAATTTTAGTTGTTGTGTTTCCAACGGTTGTTCAGGTTCATGTAAGTTTAATTGTATGTTTTTTGTCACGAAATGTTTGGTTTTTCATCTTCATATCTAGTTTCATGTGCTTGGTTTGAACTCTTGTTTTGTTTAATTTTATTTGGTTTATTTCTTCCATTGTTGTGATTTCATGTGAGATAGATGAGGTATGTCTTTGTAATGAAGATACAATCAGTTATGCATCAATCATGTCATATCTTGTAGGGGCCTGAACCACTGGCTAATTAGTCCTAAAGTACCCGGCAAGAACTACCACTTCTCCATCCAAAATGGAGAGTAGCATTCTCTTTGTTCTCCAAAGAAAGCACATCATGAACTCTTCCCTTCTTCCACTGCTTTTGGAAAGCATAAAAGATGCATACCTTAATTTGAGAGCCAAGAAGTGCATGTCGAATCAAATTTTAGGGGAATAGTGTATAAATATATGAATAGAGACCCTATTGGAAATCTTCTCCCGAAGCACATATTAAACTGATTCCAACATGCCAATCTTCATTGAATTTGTATCATTCAACAATATTCTTAAAAGTAGTGAGTCAGAATAAAGTACTGAAGTAGTTCTGGTCATTAAATCTTGCAAGGCAAAACCAAAAGAAACTTGAGACTGCCTATTCTGATGGCAAATTGTGCTTGAACCGAGCTTCCATATGTATACATTAGGAAACGTTCCAAAAAAAATATACACCATTAGTGAAACAAATAGTAAGAAAATAAAAGTGATGAACCATGTATTTTGTGAAACAAGTATGTATGTCTTCAAACTAATCATAGTATCACAAGTTGCCTGCTTCAGGACACCCGGATGTACTACCATACAACGCTCTTCCAAGTAAGAAATCACAGGCGAAAAGTGTTCCTATCAAGATCAATAAGCATGTTCAAATGCCCTACTATTCCTACATGCATGCACGATGCTTGATCGATCAAATGAGAAAACATATGCATGTACCGGCTGATACCGACCTTCTTCCAATTACACACATTATAATGGACTTACCGATTCAACTGGACAAACAAATGGGTCGATCAAAACATAGTACCTGCTAGCTATCTCAACACATATGACAATTCAAATTACAAAAATTTCACCATCACAAATAGCTAGGGAGCTAATTAAGTATGGAGAGCAAATGAAGCGTGACAACGTCATCTACGCCCGCGTCCACGCAATTTACCATCAACAGTGCCGCTGTACAGATGGACAACAGTTGCTGCGTGTTCCCTCTGCTAGCGCTAACTGAAAATAGTCATGTACTACGGCATAGTCCATAAGGAAAAGGTAGGTAAAAAGCATATATGCCTATTCATGATAGGATGTACTGTAAGTAATATGTAACACTGATCCTTGTCTCTTTCTTTAGCAACATTAAAATCCCGGTGGACCTTTAGGAATTCAGATTTGTGTAACAATCAGGCCAGTTGTAGGAGATATCCTAACATGGACCATAGAAATAAGTATAGAGTACAAAAGGGAACTCGTAAAAGAAAATTCAGTGTATCACATACTGTTTTTTTTCAATTACATATTATGTTTTCTCCATCTGACTATTCATACTCAAGTAAGTAGACCTTATATTTCTCATTATACGTACTACTGCAAATAATGTTTGTACCTGAAAATGAATATAATCAAAATTAATCTTTGTACCTGAAAATGAATATAATCGCCAAAATTGATCTGTGTACCAGAAAATGAATATAATTAGTTAATTGCATGTATGAACACAAATTTAAAACTATAACAATACAGAAAGCAGTAAGCAAGCAGCAGCAAACAGAAAGCAAGTTGACGACACCCAACAGAGTTGACGCATGCACACAGAGGAACGGTTGTGGCCGGCTCCGGCATCCTTCTCGCCCAGCTTGGACCTTGCACGGGCCAGGTAGCGACGCAGGAAACTCGGGATTGGAGCACCATGGCCGCCATGCAAGCGTAGAGGAAAACTCCAGCAACCGGCAGAGAACGGCAGACGTTGTGTCCATGTGCACAACGGCGACAACTCAAGAGAAGGGAGGCCCGCGGGCGTGAAAGAGGGCTTCGGGCGTGACTCACACGAACACGACCACCTCGAGCATAGCAGCGACCACGCCCAGCTGCTGCACGCGTAGCCAGTTCAGGAGGCTGAAGACGCCGTGGCTCCTGCGGACCCAGCAAGACCTCGCCGCCGACGGTGAAAATCGACTCGATGGCAACATCGCAATGGTGGCGATGGCTGGGGCCTTGGGCGGCGGCGCATGCGAGGTGGGAGTGGTAAGTGCATGCCAAATAACCTCTCGTCCTTGAAGACATGCTCTTGCATCCCTCCTGCTCCCGCCGACTTCTGCCGGAGCTCTCCTGCACGGTGTTCTACCGGTGTCGCCTCCCCTCCGATCGACAACACCGGGCGGAAATTAAGAGGAAGAAATAGAGACAGGAACATGTTTATGACTGGACCGGCGGTTGCTCCCGGCGGCGTAGTCGACTAACAGACTGGTCGCCAGCGACCGACATCTGCACCCCGGCGACATCGCACCGGCACACCGGTCAGAATAGCTCCTGCCAAAGCGGCACCTCCAACTCCCACACATCACACACGGCGCAACCCCTCCACATCTGTGCTGCTCGTAGGTGAGGGCAGTATCCCCCGATGCCACAGGGGCACGAACCAGCTCCCCCCCGGATGGCTCAGGGTGTGGGCCGAACAAAGAAGCAGCACTACTGCTGAAGAAAGAAGAAGAAAACCGGAAGCGAACGCAATGAGCAGCGGAGGCACAAGAGCACCTGTATTTATAGGGAATGACAGCACAGAAGAGTTCAAATCGGAGTCGGGAAGCAAAGGCGGTAGAGAAACACGCAGAGGCTTCCAGCAAAGCGGCAACCGCCAGCGCAGAAATACGCAGAGACTTCCATCGAAGCGGCAAACGCCAGCGCGAAAAGTGGAGAAGATGCAAACGGCAGCCAACCCAGCCAAGCATACGTGGCAAAAAGCAGAGATAAAAAAAGGAAGTAGACAGCGGCGCATGCAGAAGAATCCAAACCAGGCGATAGACAAATTGGTCTCCCCCATGCAACCAATACGAAACTGAACATGGACACCCAATCGTCAAAGCGGTCGTATTTTTTAATGATTCCCAGCGACATGCGCTCCGCTCACCCAGGCGTGCACACACCCACATCCCCCACTATTACACGTGTTGCACATTCATTGGACGATTTGTTATGATAGGAAAAAGTGAAAAAAACAGAAAAACTAAACCTAGCCAGGTTTAGTATATGTAGAATTCTATCTTTCTTTGTATTCCAAGACGATCATGTATTCCTATATATATACCTATGAGGCTCAAGCAATATAACGAAAATTCCACCAATCCCTCTCTCCCAGGGACGAAGCTAGAAAAAAAGTTTGATGGGTCATGTGACAGTGGGGTCATCTTCCATAAATGAATAATAATTAGTACTAAACTAAGGAAGAGTTATCTAATTTCATTGGGGTCAATTGACCCCAATGCTTACCAAGCAGCTCCGTCCCTGCTCTCTCCCTTCCAACATGGTATCAGTTTCTGGGTTCTAAATCCTAGCCATCGCCGTTTCCGCACCTGCGCGCCGCCCCTGGGGCGGTCGGCCTCCATGACCGCCGCCGGGGTCCGCGCCGCCCGTACCTAGGGTTCGTCTACCAGTCGTGTTGACCGGCTGCCCTAGAGAGTCTTTTTCCCGAGCCCTTGCTCTGGGGTTTTCTCTCTCCCACCGGTCATCTTGATCGGCGGTTTCTTTTTGGTTTTTCGATCTAATCATGATCGGTTTGCGTCGCCCACCATCGCCGACGAGCCTGTGCGCCTCTACTCCAAACTCGACGCAACCGGCCGGCTACTTCACCGACCCGGCGGCTTAGAGCGTCGTTCGCGCGTCTGCCTGCTGGTCGCCCCGACCCGGCGGCCTCGCGTCATGTGGCGTCCCTTCACCGCTGCCGTTAACGCGCCGGCCCGCCCGTCGATCTACACCGGTCTTCACCGCTCTGCTCCGACTGGGACTCCTGCATCACCCTGATCCGGCGGCCTCGCGCCATGCGGCGGCCAATCATAGCCGCCCTGCCGCCAGCCATCGCCGGATTCATCTCGAACTCCGCCGCCATCCCGTCTCCACCGAGCGACATCCCCGACTTCGCGCGCGATCGGATTGATCATCCGCCGCCGCCGCGATCCGTCTCATCTACGCCGTGCGACTGACATGGCTAGTCGGTTGCGCGCACTCCGCAGGGCCCGTGAAGAGCATCCCCGAGTTCAGCGCGCCCCTCCACCGATCGAGCAACGGGCTGCCGCCGCGTCGCCCCTTCAGGCCACAGCGCCGCCGCCTCGTGGTTCTTCTCCTGGCTGCACTGACCCGCGTCATCGTTGCGTCGCCTCTTCGGGCCGTAGTACCGCGGCCCGCGGTCCACCGCCGCCCCGGGGCCGTCCGCTCCAGGCCGTCCCCATGGCTGCACAGACCCTCGCGCCACCGTAGCGAGCGTGGCACGCGGTTCAGGCCGCCGTCCCGAGGCCGTCCCCGTAGTTACACTGAGCCGCGCTCCTTCGCCGCGCCGCCCCTTCGGGCTGTCGCGCCGCAGCCCGCGGTTCCTGCCGCCGTCCCGAGGTCTTCCTGCCGTCGCCCCGACCTGGCCGCCGCCGCTGCATAGCCCCTTCAGGCCATAGCGCCGCGGGCCGTGGTCAACCACCATCGCTGCGTGTTGACCTTTCGTGGTATGCGCCGCACCGCCTCCCTTGGCGCGGGAACGCCACTGTCCGCGCTGGTCTTCGTCATGTTGTCAGGTTCTTCGCCTCCTTCGAGCATCGCCATCACACTCCTAACATAGCCGTCGCCGCCGCCGACAGGCCATCGCCGCCGCTCTTCTTCGGCTGCCGCCGCCGCTACCCCTATAGCCGCCGCAGCCGCCCATCCACCTCCCTTCGTCTTTGTCCAGCACCATCCCGTCGCCAGCATCGCCGTCATTTACCCTGACCGCTTCATCTACTCTAACAACCGTGGGCGACATTGCCCCCGCGCCGATTGGCGCCACAACCGTCGTCGAGTCCTTCTCTGCTGGCCTCTCCGACTTCTTTGACATGACGTACAGCTCGTGCAGGTCCCAGTCTACACATGCCCGGTGCTGGCAACACCGCCGCGTGCCTTCGTCCACAACGTGTCCCTGGGCCTGGCAAGCCTGGTGCGGCGATTCGTCAACTTCATCTTCGTCCATCTACGCATGCCCGGTGCTGGCAACACCGACGCGTGCCTTCGTCTGCTATGTTTTCCCGGGGTTGGCAACCTTGGCGCGACGCGTCGTTAACATCATCCTCCAGCGCACCACTACTTCGACACCACTACGCCCACGACTAACTCCGCGCCTCCTTGCGCCCGCGGCTCCATGACGACTTCCTCGACACCGGTTACCCTGACTCGACATCGACCACGGCATTCTTCGCACGGCTACCTCGACCACGGCTCCACCACCCACGCTCTCGGCTATATCGACAAACGACACAAAGGGCTACCGCCTGCTTGAGCAACCTCGACGGTTTTCACTCCAGCCACGACTCCGCGATGCATCGACCGTTATGACTGTGGGGGGTGTCCGTCAGCTTGCCTTCGGATTCTTCTTCACTCTCACCGTCTTCGTCGCTACCGTTGTGACTGCGGGAGGATGTTGGGTATCGTGATTATTAGGAAAGTTAGGATACCGTAGGATATTATTCTACCTTGCCTTGTACTCTAAGATGATCATGTACTCCTATATATATGCCTATGAGGCTCAAGCAATATAACGACAATTCCACCAATCCCTCTCTCCCTTCCAACACGATCGACTCATCAATGTCGTGCTTCTGGCCGTTGCCACAAGAGTTGTTTGCATGGTTGTCGGAGGCATTCGGTGTCATCAGGCATATCTAGTTCTACTACCGATAGTTACTAGGGACTATACGCAGTGTCGCGGGAGCGCTCTACTTCCTTGGTTCACGTCTTCGCGATGGCGAGCTACGTGAGCGGGCTGATATTGACAATGGTGCACAGGGCGACCCGAGACCAGGGCGGGCAGCCTAAGGGTGTGTTTGATAGGGTGCATGGAGGGTGCATGAGGGCAAAAGTTCCCAATCCGACCCACTTTTGCTTGTTTGGTAGGATGCATAAGCTCACATGGGCTATGCTCATCTGATGCATAAAAGGGCCCTCAGCTATGCTCATCTCATACACCCCAGGCAGGGTGCATGGAGGCAGCCATGTTGGCCCTGACACTCGTCCCCACCCACCAGACCACGTCCAGATATGTTTATATTTTCAAAAAATGTCAGAATTTAAAATTTTGTTTAAATTTTTGAAAAAGTTTAGAATTTCAAAATTTCTTTAAATTTTTGAAAAAGTTTAGGATTTCAAAATTGTTTACATTTTCAAAAAATGTTCATAATTTCAATTTTTATTTGAATTTTCAAAAAATCTTCAGATTTTTTTTTAAAAAACAACAATGTTCAGAATTTCAAAATAAAAAAATCTTTGAATTTTGAAAAATATCAGAAATTCAAATTTTATTTACTTTTTTATAAAATATTCAAAATTTCAAGGGGAGTATGGGCTTGTTGTACCTAAGTGGCTGGCTCGCGATCTGGACAAGGGGAGTATGGGCTTGTTGTACCTGGTCACCACCGTCATCGCCGCCGTGAACCTCGTCTACTTAATGGCCAGCACACTGCACACGGTGGTATAGGTTTAAGAAGTCCGACAACGACCAGGCCCACACGGGTGCGGTGACGTCAAGCTCGTTGACGACAACCAGAAGAAGGCCCACACCAACCTAGCTTAGGCCAATTCTTTTGACCATTCTGTTTTATTGGTTGGGAAAATTGTGTTTGGCAAAATAGAAAAGTGTTGTGCTTACTACTCACTATCGTATCAAATACCTCTATGCTATCGTATCAATTAATCAGCCGATTTCCGATTAATCTCTTATCCTTAGCTGACCGAGACGGCAACGATAAGTGATATCATCAACATTGATTAATGTTGTAGACTCAATTCGCAAAAAAAATGTTGTAGACTCAAACAGGAATTGCATGACTATATTTATTTCTCTTTGAAGGCAAGAAAATATATGCTAGCAAGGAAACATGCTTAGTTGAAAGAATTTCATGGTCAATTTTGGAGTGTTTTCTATATAATCAATCAAAGAATTGAAGCCAGGTAATTAGCTTTGAAACAGTAGAGCCAAATTATAGACAAGCGAGTGTGCAAAGTCAGTCAATTAGCACTCAAACAGTAGCAAATCCAATAATTCACTAATTTCTAGG